TGTTTGTTCATCACTTCAACGTATGCACCGACGAACTGCAGTTCTGACGCACAAACGGACGGCTTTTACGATAAACCCACTGAACGCATTCGGTTGAGTCGAAACTCCAATATAGTTGTTCTAGCAGGTGATTTTAACGCTCAAGTTGGAAAACTGAGCGCATTGGAAGCTTGCCCAGGCGGTCATTGTGCTCTATCCTGTCAGCGAACCGACGATATCAATCGACTTCTCCAGTTCTGCGCAGATCATTGTCTGTTCCTATCCAGCACCAACTTCCGACACAGCTCTCAACAGACAGCAACGTGGCGCTCCAATTTAACTGGTACGCTAACTCAAATCGACCACATAACAGTAAACTACCGTTGGCGTGGCTCAGTACAAAACTGCAGGTCCTATTGGACCACCTACGTTGAATCTGATCGTGCATTAGTGTTGATGCAGTCCACCCTCCAACTCACTGGTCACAAGAAACCCACCAAACACGGTTGGCAGATCGTCTTTTATCTAACCCAGCCGTTCGTGCCCGTTTTGAATCAGAACTAGGGCAGGAGCTAAACGCTCGGCGGGGTGGTAGTGTAAATGAACAATGGGATCAGATTAGACGAGCAATGCACTCCACTGCGAGAGTTACTTGTGGGTCTGAAGCGGCAGCTCGCCCGAGGCATTGGATATATGATGATTCAGTAGCACTGGTGGAGAAAAAGCGACAAATCCCCACCGCCCGGTCTCAAGGCAGGGGTAAGTGGCGTCTGCAACGACAACTCAAGAGCATCAAGAAAGATCGTGAGAACCGGTGGGCAACGATAGTTAGTGAAATGGAAGTCGAAGCTGCATCAGGGAACAGTCAGACTGTTCCAGCTGATACGCAACACTGGAGATCGGAGAAACACAGTAAGTGAAACAATCTGCAATAAAAGTGGACAAGCTATTCACAATAGGGATCAACGGCTTGACCGGTGGGCGGAGTACTTCAACAAACAGTTCATCTGGCCAGGTGCTAACCAGACTATATCGTCTGTTGTAGTTTCGGCTCCATGGGAAGTTTCATGTGAACCTCCTACTGAAACCGAAGTTCGATCTTTTATCCAAGCCCTGAAAAAAAGGAAAAGCAGCAGAACCGAACGGGCTTCCCCCCACTGTTTTCAAGTTGAGAGAAGATGACCTCGTAGACTCCATTAGTGTTCTAATGCGTAACATCTAGTCACATGGGCGCATTCTATCGTCCTGGAGCGAATCATTGATTATCCCCATTTTTAAGAAGGGATCTCGCAACGACTACTCAAACCACCGTAGAATAAGCTTGATCTCAATCGTCACCAAGTTACTAGTCTCCATCATACTTCGACGTCTGACACCGTTTAGGGAGACAAATATCCGCGAACAACAAGCAGGATTTCGACCAGGCCGCGGGTGTGACGATCAAAACTTCACTCTGCGTCAAGTCCTCGGGCTACGCCATACTAACCGTCGGCCAATGGTCGTCGTGTTCCTTGACCTAAAAGGAACCTTTGACTCAGTTGACCGCGAATCCCTTATGGGTTCGCTTCTTCGTAAAGGAATGTCGCAGAAGTATGTGAACATATTGAGTTGGCTCTACTCACATACTTCTGGTAGCATAAGGGTCTACGGCGAACTGAGTAGGTCATTCGTAACTAGCAGCGGTGCTCATCAAGGGTGCCCTCTTTCGCCATTCCTGTTCAATTTTGTCATATACGAAATACTGGAGAACACACCAAGTGGTCTTCAAAATGTAGGTATTTAATGAACCGCTGGAGAAAAGCTGTGCGATTTGGAGTACGCTGACGACATCGTTTGCCTGTTCCAATCTATGAAGGATGCGCAAAGAGCACTTGACAGATTAACAAGTTCTGTCGCTCCGTTGGGCATGCGCTTTGCACCTTCAAAGTGCATAGTGATGCTACAAGACTGGGGGTCGCCGAGTTCCGTTCTGAAACTAGACGGTCAGGAATTAGCTGAAGTTGACTGCTTCTCGTACTTAGGTAGCTGCGTGACCAACGACGGTAGCGCATCGAAGGAGATAATCGCCCACATTTCCAAGGTTCGAGCAGCATACGCAGGACTTAAACACCCGTGGCGGCGACGTGACGTTTCACTGAAGTTGAAAATTCGCCACTGCACGATCAGTTCTGCTTTACGGTTGCGAGACCTTGAATTTGCGGGCAGAAGACATCAGTCACCTACGGGTTTTCGACAATCGACGCCTACGTAGTCTGGCCCAAGCGGAATGGAGTGAACGGGCTAGTAACTTAGAAGTAAGTTGTCGGATGTTTGGGAATACCTCAAACAAGAACTAGCTATCGCATCGAATCCAGCTCAATAAACTCCGTTGGTTAGGACACCTGTTGCGTATGTCCGACGGTCGCCTACCGCATCGCGCCTTATTAGCAGTGGCTGTTTAGGCCGTAGAAAGCCACGTGGAGGCCAGCAGATGAAGTGGAGACGTAGCATGATAAGTGCACAGAGCGATTAGGTAGAGTAGGTGTCTCAGGTCTTCCGGGTTGGGGTCCAAAAGACTCCGAAACCGCATGGTTAGAGACACTGAAGATCATGGCTGCGAACCGACAGCAATGGCGATCATGCTGTCACTTCTTATCAGACCAGAATGCTTGAAATAGTACGTATGCTCATTTGAACTGTTTACTCTATGTTGACCATAGAGGTTCACTTTCCTTTCCAGTCCCTAAGAATAGGTCCAATCCCTGTCATCTTTACACATTATCACTTACCTTGTATGCAATATGAGTTTGGCAGCGATCAGTGAACTTCGCTTCATTGTATTACGCTGTACAATGATGACAATGATGATATATATATATATATATATATATATACGATATATCAAATGGGAATTCGTCGTGTATTTAGCAAATGAAGCGTGAAGTGAAAAACTCTGAAGCACTGGACA